TGTCCTAAGTCCATGAGAAATAAGAAAAGACAGAGGGTACATTACTGTTTAAAGGAGACTATGATATGTGACGACTAAATGCCATCCTGGATTGGACCTTGGGACAGAAAACAGACATTAGTGGAAAAATTGGTGAAATCAAAATAAAGTTGTAGTGTGTTTGGTGGTGTCAAGCCAACATTAATTTCCTGGTTTGACTGTACCATGGTTATGTATGACGGTTACACAGAAACTCTCCATTAATTTTAACTTCCTCTTCTGCCCAGCTCTGCTTCCGCCCCCTTCTGTTCACAGGTGCTGATCTGTAATAAACATCTTGGCCCCCAAACTCCACCTTTTGTTGGCTTCTGGAGGACCCAACTTATAGCAATACAGCTCCCTCAGCACATACCCCGACAACTTCCCTTTGCAGGTACTATGAAGTCTGGACGTAATTTGTATTTGCCTCCAATTCTTTGCATTTTATTTATGCAAAAGGTAAAATAAACCTGGCTAGATTTTCGACCCAACTATAAGAAAGCTTACTTCCGGTGGAAGACAGGCACGATTTAGGAAACCCCCACCTTCATGCAGATCATGGTCCTTTCTGCAGTGAGCAAGTAACCTGGGAGTGACGCTTCGAAATGTCGGGAGATCACCACCACCAAGTCCTCCCTCCTGTCTGCACACGCCGCTCTCCCCGCCAGGAGGTAGAATCTACCCGCCATCCCTGCCTCTGGACTGGCCTTGTAACTTGGTTTGACCAATGAATGGGGTGGAGGTAGGATTTCCTTCTTCCTGGGCCCAGACCTTAGCTTCTCTCTTAGCCATCTTGGGACAAAGTGGCCGACGACAAGAATTCAGGCTGGGATACTGAGTGGTAAGGCCACGTGAAGGTCAGAGGCCCAGCCAGCCTCGCTGGAGGCACCAGCCAGGAGAGTGAAGCCATTCCAAGTCTTCAGCTCCGGTCAGCCTGCCGTAACCAGCACGAGGCTGGGTGGAGGCAAGCCCTCTCCACAGGCTCTGCAGCCATGAGGCACGAAGGTGTTTCAAGCCACGACGATTTTGGTTGGTTGGCTGGACAGGAAACAGATCTCATGTGAATGTTCTTGTCTGGTGCTGGCTAGGGCCGACTGGGTCATGTTTCTTTGTGAAGACTTCGCACATCGTTCAGATTTATTTAGAGGTATTTGATGCTTTCTGATGTGACTGTAATCGGTATTAATTCTAATTGTTGCTAGAATACAGAATAGTCATTTTTATTAACCTCATGCCCTGTAACCTTGTTAAATTCAGCTTCTGAATTTATCTAAATTTTGATTTTCTGCGTACAGTCACGTCATCTGAGTATGATCATTTTGTTTCTTGCTTTCTAATTCCCGAACCTTGAATTTACTTTCCTCGCCCTGGCTAGACGCTCCTGTACTGAGCTGGAAAGAAGGTGGTGATAGCAGGAGCCTGTCTTTTTCCTGCTCTCTGGGGAGTCAAGTTTTCAATTATTCACAATTGAGTATGGTGTTTGCTATAGGTTTTTTGTTTGGGTAGATGCTCTTTACTTTTTCTGTTTAAAGATAATGTAATTGTTCTCGTTTCTGTAAATGCGGTAAATCACATTTGTTTTTCTTTCTTTCTTTTTTTTTATCCTCACCCGAGGACATTTTTCCATTTTTTGTTCAGGTAGAGTGGGAGGGAGAGAGAGGAACAGAGAGAGAGAAACATCGACGTGAAAGGAACACATCGAGTGGCTGCCACCCGCACAACCGACCAGGGCCGGGGACAAACTGCAACAGAGGTACGTGCCCTTAGCGGGAACCGAACCTGGGTCTCTCAGGACCGCAGGCCGATGCTCTAACCACTCAGCCAAACTGGCCAGGGCTCACATTTGTTTTTCAATTTTAAACTGTAAGTTTGATGGTCCTGGCCTTGCATGGGACCATGTGACCTGAAACTTACTGATTTCTATGGTATGAATACTCCTGTGGTGGATTTCAAGCTACCAACTCGGAGGCGGGAAGACAGGTGCACAGTTGGTTCTCGAGGGCACCTGACTTCAGCTCCCCATAACCAGGCTGGGAGTTACGACTTCACTGGACCAGGGAGGACAAAGCTGCTTCACATGATCTATTTTAGCCTCACAGACAATCCAGGAAGTAGATACACGTAACTGCCTTCTTTCAAGCCTTTATGAAGTACCTAAGAAATGTCTAGCACTGTGCTAACTGCAAGGGGAAAATGTAACTCTTTGAAGAGCTTATAATCTAAATGAGCTAAACAAGATTAATAGAATGCCTGAAATTTGGAGAAAACTCTTCAGATGGTAGCAGCAACTTAGTGCTAAAGAAACCCAAAGGTTGGATGGGGAGAGTTTAGGATTCTTCCTAGATTATAGGGGTTATGAACTAAATCTTAGTGGAAAGCCTGGCCAGTGTGGCTCAGTGGACTGAGCATTGTCCCACGGACTGAGAGGTTCAGGTTCGATTCCCGGTCAGGACACATGCCCGGGTTGTGAGCTTGATCCCCAGCAGGGGGCGTGCAGAAGGCAGCTGACCAATGTTTCTCTGTCTAAAAAATCAATTAAAAAAAAATCTTAATGGAAAAAATGTGACTTGCTCTAGCAGAGAAAAGAAAGGACACTCAGTGCATCAGAGTAACAGAATGACATAAACGAAGGTATGAAGGCAGCAAGCACGTGGCATCTGCTGGCTCACAAAGCTGACAACACCAGTGCCACGCTGGACACTCCACGTCCCTTCATTTGCAAGGTTGAGCGACAGTCATGGAAGCAACATTAGGGAGGTAGGCCCCCATTTCGTAACTAGACAAGTGGCAAGTGGCTACTAAACAGTACGTCACCGTAATAATCAAATACACGAATATATCAAATAGACTCATTCTGTTTTTCTGCACGTAGATGACGATGAATTCAGAAGTCAATTTCCTATAGAAATAATTCCTAATTAAGGTCCCCATAGTTTTCAGGCTGAAATGAAAAATGTCCAAAAACCACAGTATAGCTCATAAAGATGCCCAAGTAGGTTTTATTTGCTGGCTCAGAAAACAACTACCCAAATTTCATAATGGTCAAAGTCAAGGTAAAGTAAAGACAAAGAGCCGGGACATTCAGTTTCCTGTTTACCTGTCCATAAAGAACACATGGAAATGGCCTGTGTTGTACCATTCTAGAGTAAGTCTAAAATTATTACATTCCAGAAGTAGTTTCAGAACCAGAAATGCGGGAAATAGAGCTATGGCTAGGAGTGACAGGATACTGAGATAGTTCTCAAAGCACATGTTAAGAATCAAGTGTGATCAATTATCATCACACTATACTAACATACTATTTGCTCAGCTGTTTGATCAATTTAAGTAAAATACCTCCTCAAAAAAAATTCTGGATTCATAAAACTTCTGGATTTCAACTACTATATACTTATAACAATGAAATTATGTTGAGTCTCCTAATGACATAATAGCAATATTACACAATTCTGAAGCTGATAAAGTATATATACTATCTTATAAGACATCCATAAACAATGCATTGTTGGTCCACCAAGTTAATTCCCAACCCTCACATAAAAGTTGTTGAAAAAAGGATTTTCATGTACATTCTTAATAATTTAAAATTATTATTTTTTATTTAATCAATGTAGGTATTATTTTCTTATACAGAAGACCCCTCAAAAAAGAAGCATACATAGAACAGAGGCAATACTAGGTTATATCTATTTACTACACATAAGAACAGTATGGTTCAGGTCTATGATTTCCATTTAATATCAACAAAAACAATCTGTACAGAAAACCCTAAGGCAACCATATAGCATAACTTGTAAATGTGCAAATATACTTTTAAATGCAAGTCATTCCATAGTATTTGCATGGTAGAACTTCATAGTGACAAAGGCATCCATCTGATTCTAGCTAACTGAACAACCCTTTGCATATAGAGCCAATGCAAATGTACAAGGCACAACTTAGTGTTGGTGCTCAAGTGTATAACACACCCTCAGATTTTTTATTTGAAAATATTAAAATAACATAATGTCGTGTTTATATTTTATTATTGAATAAAACATCAGCTCATTTCTAAAGCTTCACAAAGCGTCACACAGATAACATATGCGGGGCAGGACACACTGTTCCCTGGACGCAAAAAGGTAAACGACCCTTGCTACCCTATATTAAAAAAATTATATATATGTATGTACACAGACACACCCACATCACGCACAAGACCCTACCCATAATCCAAAGGGAGGCCACTCTTCTTCGCACAGTTTCCCATTACAGTATTTTACAGCAGGATTATTTATAAAGGACATTTACTGACTACCAGTTTAGGTCAATCCAGCTACAAAAGTACACATTTGAAATAGACAATTTCCTTCTTCAAGATAGACAATGCCTAATTTAGAAAGTCTTTCTCTTAAGACTGCACAGTGAAAGGTATTATTTAGTTAAATATAAAAGCTTGCAGCTCTTAAAGAAATTTTAAAAATCTACACAAAGAAAAATATCAACCTATCAAAAAAATCAGAGCCTTGGCTAGAACCAAGTTCAAAATCTTTTAAGCCCAATCAGTGCTCTTTGTTGTTTTATTTCCCATCCCTGAGAGTAAAGATTCTATCATTTTTAATTCTTAATAAAGTACATAAATTTACATTGATGAAAATACTTAGAAATTTTACAAAATATGAAATAAGCCCTATTTTATTTTAGTAAAAAAAGAAAAGAAGATAAATGTTCTTTACAAAGACCACTATTCATAACGATTTAAAATATTTGTATCTCAATCAATTTAGTCCTCTTTTCACTGGGTAATTTCTTTTTGCCCGTCATGTATCACTCACTTCCTCAGAGCCATTAAAAAAAATTTTTTTTTTATTGATTTTAGAGACAGAGAAAGGGAGAGGAAGAAACATCGATGAGAGAGAACATCAATTGGCCACTTCCCGCACCCCCACTGGGGATCAGGCCCACAACCTGGGCATGTGCCCTGACCGGGAATCGAACCGGCGACCTCCTGGTGCCTGGGTCGATGCTCAACCAAGCCACACCAGACGGCTTCAGAGCCCGTTGTTTTATAATTTTGTTAATAAGAGCATGTAATAGGTAAGAGAGCACACAGACATGTACAATGCAGAGGAGCACTGACGTGAGCCCTGCCTCCCTGCACAGAAGGGTCACTGGAGGACGACCTGAGTGCCGCCCAGGAAAGGCGACGATGCCGACGACAGAGAGAACACACGTGGCAAACGTCTTCCTGGTCTTTGGTTTAGCCTTCTTGGCCAAAATCTTCTGAAAACTTCTTTAATTTCAGCAAGTCGTGTTCATTGACTGTGGGTTTTGTGCTAGCTAGTGACCGCAACATGTCCGCCTGCCAGAGAAGGGAGGGAGGAGTATCAGTGACAGATTCAATCACTGCATTATCATCACATTGCTGTCTTTCAACTAAGGTTAAATCGGAGTATTTGCAGGATACCATAAGCTACTGAGAATAAACTCTTATTCTTTTTCTTTCTTTTTATTGAGTTTTAGAGAGAGAGGAAGGAAGACGGAGAGAGAGATAGAAACATCAATAAGAGAGAACATTGATTGGCCGCCTCCTGCATGCCCCCCACTGGAGATCAGGCCCACAACCTGGGCATGTGCCCTGACCGGGAATCGAACCGGTGACCTCCTGGTGCCTGGATTGATGCTCAACCGCTGAGCCACACTGGCTGGGCTAAACTCTTATTCTTACAAAGAACCGCTTTGACCGTGTTATTCCTTTGCACAGAAACCTTCGATTGCTAGCCTGTGCTCATCACTGCCTTCAAGAGCCCCTCCCCCACCCAGCAGAGCAGTCCGCTCTCATAGCCTGAGGCTCAACACCTCCACAATATGCCCAACCTCTCTTCCAGTCTTAACAGTATCTTCTTAATAAGAGCGGTTTTCCAAGTGCAACTCAAAAATATACTCATTCACGTATACTTATGTGAAACAGAATACTATTTGATTAAAATCAACAAATCAGAATTTTTAACTATTAGTTAAAGTTAAGATAAAAATGATAAGAAAATAGGATAATATTAGGGATTCATTTAAAAATTAAGTTCTAGGCTATGGCTTTGTCTCCTATAAAAAAATAGTACGAAAATGGTCAAAAGAACCAAAATTAATAAATAAATCAAGGACTGAAACAAAAAAAAAAGAGTTTCTGAATAACTTCTCAGATAAGCACTATGATTAATTAACACAAATAAATGTGTGTGTGTACACACACTTATACATATATTTATATACATATACATGTTCACATATATCTTTATATCTATGTCTCCATATCATGTAAAAGTTTCTCCTGGGAAGTTAGTTTGTTCTGACATAAAGCTCTTTGAATATCTGTAACAGAGGCAGAAGATTTAAAAAACTGAGTGTTTATCAATAAGAAATATAAATATAACAAATGTACCTTTCCATTACAATAAGTTCCCTAAAAAGTTATATATCTTACAAAATAAAGCCTTATTATTTTAACTCCTTCAGTACAAATAGAAATTTAATATTAATTTTTATAATAAAAATTATTTCAGAATATTTTTTAGCACTGCAGTATTTAAATAAGTGACAGTATTAAATTAGTGTGCCTAATCATGCTAGCACTTTCTAGCTAGTCTTATATAACTGAAAATATTTATCTTTGACAAATTACAAAGATAAGTTTAAATAATTTTTTAAAAATAAAACAAAATATCGAACCATGGAGACAATCGGCTCCAGGAGCTTGTCGCCAGGGACATCCACCCACGTCATTTCAATGGCGCCCGGGTCCCCAGGAGAGCAGGGCGTTAACAGGTCATCCACTATGTTGTTAGGATCAGCTCGTGAAGGTCCTTGAACCTGGGATAAAGTGTAATTGAGAATATTTATTTGAACAAATTAAATAAATATTAAGATTTAGGCCATGATCAGGAAATTTCAACATATTCTATTATTTCATGTTTCATTAAGATGTTTACTTCTCAAAATAAACAGACTATACAATAAAAAGTGGTTATCTCTGGGTGACGAGATAGATTTTGTTTCATTTAAATTTTTTCTTGATCTTTTTCTATATTTTGAAATTTTTTACAATGATCAAAGAGGGAAAATGAATTAAGATAAAAAATTAAATAAAAAGAAAAAAGAAACAGTTACCTTTAGCTAAGATTTTTCTTTTTTTTCTAATGCTTATTAAGTGGTAATAACCCTTGAGAGCAAAATAGAAATACCTATTCTCACCTTGTCACTGTCTGTCTTTCCTCACAAACATTTCACTGCAGGGATTTCTGTGGTTTTTGACTGTTGTGCTTTATGACTTACCTTTGGGCCTAGATTAGCACTTTAGATACTTGATAAATAAACAAGCAAACTTGGTGACTGAGAGATGGGGAAAGGATGGAGCTGCAGAGAGATGCACTTCACCTTCATCCCTAACAGGGCGTGAACTCAGGGTCACGGAAGCTGTCCCTGCTGGTCTGCACTACAGACAATCAATGAGAAGTTCTGGGTGGGAAAGGAAATGCCAAAGGGAACTGAAGAAAACAATGGCTGTAGCATAACTTGATCCTAAGTTACTATATTCTCTCAGCAATGAGATGGCTAAAGAAGGGGAGATGAGCACTATTCACAGGTTAATGAGGTACCACGATGGGTGTTTTATGAGTAGGACTTCCCTTCACTCTCACGACAGCACTTTGAAGTGTTACCATCCCTATTCTACAGATGATAAAAGTGAACCTTAAACAATGTAGTAATTTGCTCAGAAGATATAACAAATTGTGGAGTCAGGCTTCAAATTCAGGTTCTAATTCAAGGTCATCATTAAAAAATACTTATTTTTGCCCTGGCTGGTTTGGCTCAGCGGTTAGATCATCAGCCCGTGGACCAATGAGTCGCGGGTTCGATTCCGGTCAAGGGCACATACCTAGGTTGCGGTTTGTCCCTGGTCCTGGTCAGGGTTGTGTGAAAGGCAACCAGTCGGTGTGTCTCTCTCACATCAATGTTTCTCTCTCTCTCCCTCCCACTCTGTCTGAAGATAAATCGAAAAATATTCTCAGGTAAGGATTTAAAAAAAAAAGGAACATACAAATGTACCTCAGTCATGATATATTAGTCTTGTCATATGTTGCTGGACTACATGTGCTAATAGCTTTTCAGGATTTTCACATCTATGTTCCTGAGTAACATTGGACATTGCTGTCCTCAGCAAGAGGTCCAAATTACCTCCTCCACTGCTCCTTAAATTGCATATCCAAACACGCCATAGTCTTTTACCCACCTCCACCTCAACCATCTATGCTGAACTCTTCATGCAGAGAAAACAGTGCACTAGGTAGGGGCAGGAGAGCAGAATGTTGAGGCTTCAGATTCTGAAGTGCACCTTACCTGGGGGAAAATCACATTTCTGCCCCTATCTAGTTGCACCTTGGCAACCATGTTACCCTCCCAGTCCCAGTTTAATCATGCCCAGGTAATCTATGCCTCAGATTAACTATCAGCAGATGGCTGTATGTGCCTCTTGCAGTTTGGGTAAAGACCCAATGAAACTGTAAGATAAAAGAACATAGTGCTATGAGGTATCACCTCACAAATCATCAAACAAGTGTCGGTGACGGTGTGGAGAATAGAGGACTCTAGTACACTGCTGGTGGGAATGCAGACGGATGCAACTACCATGGAAAACAATATGGTGTTACCTCAAAAAATTAAAAATTGAACTTCCATTTGACCCAGTGATCCCACTTCTAGGAATATACCCTAAGAAGCCTGAAACACCAATCAGAAAAAATATATGGTCCCCCATGTTCATAGCAGCACTATTTACAATAGCTAAGATCTGTATCCATCAGTAGACGAATGGATAAAAAAGCTGTGGTACATATACGCAATGGAGTACTATGCAGCTAAGAAAGAAAGATCTTTTATCCTTTGAGATGACACGGAGGGACCTGGAGAGTATTATCCTAAGTGAAACAAGCCAAGCAGAGAAAGACAAATATCACATGATCTCACTTATTGGTGGAATATAATGAACATAACAATCTGAGGAACAGGGTAGACCCAGAGACTTGGAAGTGGGGTACAGACTGACAATCCTCAGAAGAGGGGGTGGGGGGGAGATAAACCACAGAACTTATATGCATGGACACATAACCAATGGACATGGACAACAAAGCTGGGACGGGGTGGGGGTGGGGAAGGGGAGGAGGCTGTCAATGGGGACAAAAGGAGAAACATCTGTAACAAAAATAAATAACACACACACACACACACACACATATTTTTTAAAGAGTTAACTGAAAAAAAAAAAAGAACATAGTGCTGCCCCGGCCAGTGTGGCTCAGTGGTGAAAGCATGGGCCTATGCACTGAGGGTCTTGGGTTCGATTCCTGGTCAAGGGAATGTACCTGAATTGCAGGTTTGACCCCAGACCTGGCTGAGGTACATGCAGGAGTAACTAATCAATGAGTCTCTCCCACATCAATGTTTCTCTCTCTCCCCTCCCACTTCCTTCATTCCCTTCCACTCTCTCTAAAAAAACCAATGGAAGAAACATCCTTGGGTGAAGATTAACAATAACAAAAAATAAACACAGTGCCAGGCCTGTCAATATTTAAACAACATTAGCTATTATTATTTTCATTGTGTTAATGAGGTACAAATACAGCTTCTGCTCTCAGATTTTCTACTTACAGAGAGGTAACTATATATTTAAGTTTCTACACTTACATCAAATAAGTGCTTCAAAAATCATCACCCAGAAAATTTTAAAATACTTTTAGACTATTAGTAATGGCTAATTAATAAACAAATTTTATGGAAAAAAATGTTCATTGCTACAGTATTTTTTTTTTTTTTTATCCTCACCCGAGGACATTTTTCCATTTTTTGTACAGATAGAGTGGGAGGGAGAGAGAGGAAGAGATAGAGAGAGAGAAACATCGATGTGAAAGGGACACATCTAGTGGCTGCCACCGCACGACCAACCAGGGCCGGGGACAAACTGCAACCGAAGTACGTGCCCTTAGTGGGAACCGAACCCGGGTCTCTCTGGACCGCAGGCCGACGCTCTAACCGCTGAGCCAAACTGGCCAGGGCTGCTACAGTATTTTTAAAAAATTTTATTATTAAGGTGACATTGGTTAATAAGCTTAGTAAGTTTCAAGTGTACAATTCTACAATGCATTATCTATATAATGCACTGTGATTCAGTACCCAAAGTCAAGTCTCCTTTGAGAACTTATTTTCAATGAAATGGAAGCATGTCTATTATGTAAATCCACTTATTTATTATACAAAACTAAAGCCTTCCTAAAATTCTTTGAAGACAAATCTATGATGGTCTTGGAATTTGGTTTTAAACACACGAGAGGCTGGATAAAAGTCCCTTACCTTTTTAAAATGGGTGGCCGACTGTACTTTCCTGACAGGCTGCATGAGTGCGTCTCGCACAATGACACTTATGTCTGCCCCCGAGTAGCCCTCCGTCTTCTTCCCGAGCTCTCGGAAGTCCGTTTCCGTCAGAGTGTTCTGAGTGGTCCCCAAGTGCAGTTTGAACATTGCGGCTCGGGCATGGGCCTCTGGCAGAGGAATATAAATCCGTTTCTCAAATCTTAAAGTGAAAAAAAAAAAAAAGTTGCAGTAAGAATATTACTACATATATTTCATTTCTATTGAAAATTAGAATATTTTCAAGAACAAACAAGATATTTAGATATTCTCATTTGTACCAAGTTAAGTTGAATAAGTTAAAGGCCCATATGTGCCAGAGTTAAACATATATTTAGGTTAAATGAAGTTAAAATGTCCAGGACACAAAACAAATAAAACCAGAATAGCCAGGGAAGTGGCTGAAATGGGTTAGTCTTTCTCACATGGTTTCTGGGTTATCTCGCCACAGTGTTTATATGTCTGGAATTCAGGACATGACATGTCCTCCAGGACTACAGTTTCCCACAGAATTATATGCGGAACTTCAGATCAGAAGATTAGTACAATCAACACCATGAAATAAGAGATGACAAAATAACTCTCTAAATTCAAAATAGGAAACTTAGTCAAAATATGTCAGAATAAATATATATTTATTACACAAAATGTCCACTTTATTATAATGGGTATCCAGAACAAGTAATTCTACTGTATTATAATTCAAGCCCATGTTTTAGTAACAATAATTTTGCTTGCCCTCTTAGGATCTCCATATCTGCGGACAGGAGGAAAGCAATGAGAAAGATGTGAGAGGTCTGTGAAGACACTTTCCCTCAGGTCATGCTCTGTGGCAGTGAGAGGAGTCTGGAAATTTGCATCATCTCTAGAGACGCCTTCAGAGTTAGTCCATCTTCAAAAACAACTAGTACGTTTCCTTTCTTGGTACTGGGTGGTAATCTAGCATCCTGGCAAACCAAGTGGACAGGATCAGGCAGCAGTAAAGGAATGAAACAGGGAACTGCAGAGCAGTAAGAACCATCAGAGTGGACACCTTTCCTGTAGTTCAAGTTTCATATGCAATTTAAAAATTACAGACATATGTTTTTTTAACTGAAAATACATCTTGGTTATCATTTAACTTATGACTGTTATTTTGCTAAAATTTTATATGAAGGTCCTTCACTGAAATATCAAACTACATATTTATAAATTTCTGAAGCACCAGTGGCTACTAAGTTTAATCAAAACTAAAGGTGTTAGATATTACCTTTCCCAACATGAAAGATGCCAGTGTGTGAAAATCTTGTATCTTCAGTATGTATAGGAAACAAGCAAACACACACCTGCCTCTCTTCCCCCAAGGCAGGGGGACAACAGGGTTAGGGCACATCAAAAAAGATTCTGAAACGTATCAGAATGACCCCTCACAGGACAGAATGGGAATTAGTATTCACTTGTTACAAATGTAATTAGAAATAAGATATTTACAGCTGCATCATACCTTCGCCTAATGGCAGAATCCAGAACCCAGGGTATATTTGTAGCTCCCAGAACCAAAATTCCCTCATTGTCCACACCAACACCTGCATCAAAATAGGTAATATTTTCAATAATTTGTCATTTAGTGTTCGTGAAACCTTATCCCTATGGCCTGTTAACAATGTGATGCTTTAATATCAAAGTATCTCATTTTGAGAGTCTCTCTCTGAAAAAAACTGTACTTAATCATCAAATTACTAAAACATGATACAAATATTCCCAAGAGTCAAATCTCCTAGGCTGTAGACAAACACTATTAATATTCTTTTCAAAATATTTCTTGGGAGATTTCATTTCAAGTCCACATATTCCTTCTACTGATCCTGCCCCAGATACAAGTGAATATGTGGATCCTTCACTGACTACTCCAGCGAGTCCTGCACAAGGATCACAACCAGACGAAAGGCAATCGGAATGAAACACGGCACAATAAGCAGCCTGTCAGAATGAACACATTCTGCTGGAGCATTCTGTGTTTTGATCTAATAACGGCTGCACCCCAAGCAGGAAGTACTGCAGAAGTCAGCGCCAGCACCTTGCATCTGGACCAGGAACTCCGTCTTAATCCTGCGCGCTGCTTCACTCTCGTTTTCGCTCCTCGAGCCGCACAGAGAATCGATCTCATCGACGAAGATAATGGAAGGTTTATTCTCTCTGGCAAGCTGGAATAAGTTCTTAACTAGCCTGAAAATAAACAGCAGCTTTCAGATTCTAAAAATAGTATACGACACATGGCATAAAAGTCGGAAACAATATACAGTAAGGACAGGAACTCTATAGATTAAAAAACCTTATCACGTCGTGGTCCAGAAAATAAGAATGCTCCATGTGGATAATGCATTTCATGATTTACTAAACTATATACACATATTATCTTTCCACAATGAAATAAATTCCAAACTGGGGACTGATTTGACAGAGAAATGAACACCTGTATGATGTCACTCCTCTGAATGTCTATTACTGATGTAAGAAACCTATTCCTTTGTAGAGTCCTATAGTGACTACCAGGCAAAGAAACACTCAGAACCCAAGTCCATTTATTACTCACTTTTCGCTTTCACCCAGCCACTTAGAAACCAGGTGGGAGGAATGTATCGAGAAGAAGGTGGAGTTGTTTGCTTCTGTGGCTACAGCTTTGGCTAAATAGGACTTTCCTGTTCCAGGAGGCCCAAATAAGAGGATTCCCCTCCAAGGTGTTCTCTTACCTAAAATTTGCATAAGAAAAACAACAAGAGAATTTCAAAACTTGATTTCAGTGATCACAGACATCATCCATCCTGAAGAATACTGTGAGGAGGTTTATATTCTAAAGCTACTAATAACTTTTTTTAATAAATCAAAGGTAAATCTTAAATGTATTTTATCTGCTTTTAGAGACCCTTTGTCAAAGGTGAATATAACCCTTCCAACAGGAAGTCCATTTGCTCGCTCACTCATTCATTCAACCACTATGATTACAAACGACGATGTGCAGACAGAGAAGTACGAATACAAAAGGATCTTTGCCCTCCAGGGGCTCATGGTCTAGTGGGGAAAGGAGTTCAGTTAAAAGGCACTTCTGACCAGGTACCGGGTACACTGCTTGGTATCAGAATACTGTCTGAGAAACTATATCCACAGGGGAAAAGCAGCTGAAAATATTTTCTTTTAAATATTTATGACCTTTGGAGCATAGAACTACAGTTTGGTCGACCCCTTGTGAAGTTCTGCTCAATCCTGATTCCAGCAGGAAGCACAGGTTATTATTATAGGTAGCATACTCTCACTCAAATAGGTGGGTAATGATAGGGGAATCTACCCTTAAATCCTAGTTTTCCCAAAATATAACATGTGAACCAATCAGCCCCTTGTATCTCAATTTTGCCAGTGAGAAATTATAATGCTGCCTAAAATAAATCAGGCTGGGCTACACCTGGCAATAAAATATCAAGTATACATTGAAAAATGCTAAGTGCAAATTGTGGACGGGCACAGTGTCCACAAAGGAATGATATGCAGACGACTAATGGCAAAACTAAATATTGTTATATTTGTTTCAAAAGCCTCAACTTTTACTTGAATTCTCTTTTCCTGTTTTAATGTCTGCAACATGTTAGTGTTCCTTAAGTGTAGCACCTAAGACATTGGTGGCATTTAAAGTGCCTTTAGGTGGAATACAAACACTTTTTATTTAAATGATTATCTTTTTAATGTGTATTAGACAAACAGTAAAATTTCCATTTGTGGTAAACACAAAGCAGTCTTTTAAAATAAAATGACTAAGTAAAATAAGATGATTTAAAAGTTCAAATATGGGCAAAACAATCTACGGTGTTCCGAGTAGAGAGTGATTATGGCTGGGGAGGGAAGAGGCAGAGGGATTTCCGGGTTACAGGTTGACCTTTTTGATCTGGTTGACGATTACGCTGGTATATTTACTTATTGATAATTTATGAAGCTGAACATTTTCAGGTTCCTGCATGTCTCTGTATATCTATGCTGTGCTTTCATTAAGATCTGCTCTCGAAGTGAGTGATTTAAAGAAAAGTATTTTTTATATAATGGCACGAGTATGAAAATAATTCATGAAGATGATACATAAATGACTCACGTTTGAGAAGCGCTGGTATAAGTAAAACAAAATGAGGTCAACTCAACTGCAAGTGTACCTCTCTAGGACTGTGATGTCAACTTCTATACTGTTAGTTCCATGTTCCTGAGTGAGGCTGTAAGTCGCACCGCGAAGCTCGGTGACGACGGTGGCCCACGTGCTCTCTGCTCGTCATCACTGCTCTACATGACATCACTTCCCAACCTGTTCAGTTTGAGGCCAACACCACAGATTTGCTCTCTACGTAAACCAGCTTGTTTAAAAAAAACAGAAAACCTCTGTGTCACTGTTAGACTATGGGTATAGCCAAATCACAAACACAGGCTACCAGTCACAAAAAGGACAACAAGAAACGGTCTGGCACAGACGACTCGCCCACTGCTGGGGCTGTAACTTCAACCATCCCGGATGGCGGGTCAGCAACATCCTCCCAGTCGACAGGCTGCCCCCACGCCACTAGGGGATGCGCACTTTACCTGAAAATGGTGAATAATTCTTACTCCTCTTTTTAAGAAGTGAAAACACTCCTATAAAACTAGTATATGTCCATTACAAAAAAACTCAAAAAAGTATTTCAGATGAAAGTCAAAAGAAAAAGTAAAAATCACCCATCTTATTTACGTCAATCCATCTACACCTACTTCTCAGCACACACGTTTATTTAACAAACATGGAATCATGCTACATGTATTTTATAACTTGTGTTTTGATCTTTATAAGAATAAACGTGGACGTTCTCCACGTAACTGCAACGCAGATCTAAGATTCTGAATGCGGACGTTCACTCTGTGTGATGAGTGCACAGCGTCCCACTGCGGGTGATTTACCCTATGCCCCACTGGCTGACATTTAGATTATTTTGCAGCATGTATATTAAAAATGCATATGTATATAAAATAAATACTTTTGTATAAAGGCATAACACCGCCTCAGAGTTTATCTAAGGTAGTAACTCATGGCATGGTGACAAGAATTCACTCTACTCTCTTAGTCATCAATGTGGTTTTGAAAAATCATAAAAGAAAATTACTAAAAAGTCACCTCACCTGTAAAAAGATGAGGAAATTTAATAGGCAATATCACAGCCTCTTTAAGTGCTTCTTTGGCTCCTTCAAGACCAGCAACATCACTCCATTTCACATCAGGTCGCTCCATAATAATGGCACCTAAAAATATTATGTCATCTTTAAATTGAGGAAGACTATTTCATCAAATTTAGAAGACAGCATGAAATAATGATGTTAAAGAAATATATTATAAAATTGTCTGGATAAAGTTAAGGTCCTAAAAATCTCTTTGAAAGAGCGTGATGAGGAAGTAGCTGGGAGCAGGGAGTGGTCAGCAGGAGTCAGGTCCTGGGGTGGATGGCGAGATAACCCAGGTTGAGTCACTTTCCTATGACCGTTTCCTCACTGCGAAATGAACATACCATCATCTGTCCAAACTACTCAGACAGGCTAGTGTAAGGGTCAAATGACATAATAAATATCAGAGCACTTGGAAAAGCACCAAACATTACATTACAGCACTAATTCTGGAGTACCGGAAGTACTCGCTCAACGGGGGTTCATCTACTATTTCTCTTTTTAACCAAACAACCACACACACACAAAAATGGTGATCTAATACTCTCCTTTAACCACAGAAAGAAAATACACTTAACAAACGGAACTGAAGGTAGACAGACAGATGGACAGACAGACAGAAGAGATGGGAGGGGGAGGGAAATAAGAGAAGTGGATAATGATGGGGAGAGAAAATACACTCTTGTAGATTTGCAATCCTTTCCTGAGATATGCCAAATTTTTGATTTGGCTTCTACACAGACCTATTTATAATTTGTACCATTAACAAGGTTATTTAAATAATTTAGTTTTTGAACATCATATATTCGAAAGCCATAGCAATTATTGCAGTAAGAGTCAACAAAATATTTCTTTTAATATAGGTATTGGCAAAACTTTTTAGTTTATCTTTCATCAAAAGCTTTTCCAGTTTTCCAGGATATAGAAAGTGCTCAACGACAAGCCACTGAACAGTCTGTTCCAAGTGACGTGCAGCTGAGTAGGTTCAGTAATACACCACCACTTACACAATCTGCTGTTTGCCAAGGAAGTTAGTTTTATGGTTATTTCTTCTCATGAGGAAATACCTATTATTCTAGGAGTAGTTATCCTCTGCAACTTCCCTAAATTATGAAAATCTTTAGCGATAGATTAAAATTAAATAAAACCACAAACACTTTTTGCATTCTAAAAGTTCAGACTAAGTATGAATTAAGAAAGCCAACTCACTTTTTCCTTTTCTGTTCTATTCAGATTAGTAATCCTACATGAGGAAATGATTTACGTCATCAGATAGGAAGGGGCTGTGTTAAACAAAAATAAGTTTACTTTATATATAAGTTTCATGCCATGTATTCCCTAAACATGCCATAATTAATCTTCACATTTAATACTTTTTTCTTAAAGTTTAAAGGTGGCTTTGGAATATTCAGTGATAAAAATGTATTTTTATTTTATTTTATTTTTTATCCTCACCCGAGGACATTTTTCCATTTTTTGTTCAGATAGAGTGGGAGGGAGAGAGAGAGAAACATCGATGTAAAAGGGACACATCGAGTGGCTGCCACCCACACGACCAACCAGGGCCGGGGACAAACCCTTAGCGGGAACCGACGGGTCTCTCCGGACCGCAGGCCGACGCTCTAACCACTGGGAAAACTGGACAGGGCTCATTACTGATTTTTAAAGAAAAATTCTCAATTAAAAACTGAGTTGTATCATTTTCAAAACTAAAGATACAATCCAATTTTTACCTGGGGTGAGTGGGCAGGACTGAAGAGAGGGAAAACAAACCAAACCCCCAAAAAAAACACAGAAAAAAGCTTTCGCCTTACAACTGAAAGGTCACTGGGCACGGACCACGGGGCTGCCCAGCCAAACTCACTGGGTCTGAAGTGTGTCCCCGCTTGCCCTGCACAGTGGGTGGCAGTGAAGACTCAGCCTGTCTTCGGACTACATCTACCACTGAGGTTCTAGGCATACAAAAATATCCTCATTAACTGTAGTGTTAAGATACTCTCCTTATAGTATCCTTCTACACATCCAGTGGAGCTGAGAGACAGATAAAGTATTACCAAAATGGAGAGACTGTTCACCAATCACTAACCAAGCTGAGCCTATATAATGAAAATATGTCCCAGTTATGCATTCAAATGCAAGATTCGCAAGATTCAAATGAACAATACATAAAATTCAGCTTGAAAAATCACTAACATATTAAAAAACAATCTAATCTGAGTAACTAAAGAAGCCAGCAATGAAATAGATTATTATATACAGAGCTATCATTTATTGAGTTCCTAGAATTTATTAAATATAATATTAGGCAGTTTTTACATTGTCAGAAATCTTTTACTAGCCCTGAAAGGAAAATATTATTCATTTCTATTTTAGAGCTGGGCTCTCAGACTCTGAGATGTTAGGGAACTTGACCAAGATTTAAGTAGCCGACCTGGGGTGGAATCCAGATCTGAAGGGAGCCAAAATCCACACTCCCCCCATCATGCCATTAGACTATAGTCGAGGAGAATTAAAGGGTTTGCTTCTGTGTGGAAGGTAAAAATGAAAGTGGAAAGAGAAAAATAAGGGTCGGGGCTGAAACAGAATGAAAAAGCAGATGAGGAAGAGCAGGTAGGAACATAAAATAAACCATCGATAAATAAACTACAGCAATAGCAATAAAAGCCAAGTGTAAGACCTCATTCTTTCTGTTCCTCTGATTTGGTAGTATGCTATTGGTCTAAATGTCACCTTCTCTAACGGGGCAAAGAAGACAAAATGAAAGAGAGTAAGTCAACTGACAGGCTTTTTAAGGCAGATAAAAAACAAACAAACAAACAATATTTTTACTGCATTAAAAATAAAACCACCAGAGACCCCAAAGAGAAAAACCCTGTGGAAACCAGCATGTGATCACTGGGAATGAAAGCCAGTTCTTCAACTGCATTTAAATGATGGGCGGGGAATTCAAATAGACAATTCACTATGAGATTTTTAAATAAGAGAGTAAATTTAAAAATGAAATCTAAAGCAACCTTGAAGTTGATTCTGTAGTTTCTTTGTTTCAGGATCATCAGATTCTCCTTCCCCATCACTGTCATTCCTAATAAAAAGAATTTAATATATTCAAATGATCATTCATTGCTACCAAAATAAGGCAAAAATGAAGAAAAGATTAACATATTTGTAAGTAGTAAAATAAGACATTTACGTTACAAGTTATGCTTATTTTATTACTTTTAAGATCATATTAAATAAACTACTAAGCAGGCATATCATCTATCAATGTGGAACCATGAACAGGAAAGGGGCAAATAGATCAGAATGAAGTCTGGAACTAGCTTCCAAGGCCTATGATGTACCTATGCATGTGCTAATTCACAAATGCATGCCCCACACCCAGCCCACAAAGGGTTTTGGATGACTTACAGGAGAGTTGTAAACAATAATAAAGACACCAGAAACAGGCAAATTATGTATTAGAACAAGAAGCCATGACTAGGAGGAAAACCCCCAATATTCATTATTTAAGGTACAAATCTCTATAACCCTTAATCTGTGGGTTCCGAAGGATAAATAAATTTTCTGATGAAAATGAACTAAGTTCCAGGAACAAGCAGATTAACCTAGAGATTTCATAACCAAGAATTTACTCTCAGGAAATAATTTAAAATAAGTTATAAGGATAATCATGCCCACACGGTTTGCAATCGGGAAAACAGAATTACATATGTTCCATTAATTATAGAAATTAGCACAGGATAGAATACATTGCAATCTTGATAAAAATGACATTGTCAAAACAGTTTACTGGAAAGATGCTCATGATACATGTTCAGTGAAAAGGCAATAAAGTGCCCGGCCAGTGTGGCTCAGTGGTTGAGTGCACCAAGTTGAGTGACCCATGCACCAAGAGGTCACCAGTTTGATTCCTGGTCAGGGCACATGCCCAGGTTGTGGGCCAAATCCCCAGCAGGGGGCATGCAGGAGGCAGCCAATCGATGTTCTCTCATCGATGTTTCTGTCTCCCTTTCTCTTCCTCTCTCTCTGGAATCAATAAAGAAACACTGCCCTTTCTAGGCTCCCTTGCAGCTAGGTTTCTACATGAGACCAGAGTTTCTCCAAGGGGGAGGTGGGGTCTGCATGAAGGTCACTCCTGCAGGTGAAAGCACCGGCTTTGCTGAGGGAGCTGTGGTGGAGGTCTTACTCCCGCTCCCTGGCATCGGAAGGGGAGTTGGCAGCAGTGGATCCCTGCCAGAATGACCCTGGTGGAGCCGGGCATTTCTCCCAGCTATATGGAATCCAATCTTGATTCCCTGGCCCCTAAATTCTGTGAGGTAATACACTCTGATAAACCCCTTAAATTAGCTAAAGTGGGTCCTGCTGTCCAATTCAGAGCTGGCACCCCTTGCCAGGCAGCCATCTCAGCAGAGAGCATTACACAGCATCTTCAAGCAAGACCGAAGAGCCCCAACTCTCAGGGAGGAAAGGGCGTTTCTGCGGGGGAGGGAGTGTCAGGGTGAGTCGGGGGTCCTGGCTCTTGAAGTCAACTGAATTCTTCTCAACAGTTTCACTTCAAGTTTGGAGTCCCAGTCTTCCATAAATGCCCCACCTTTTACATAAGAAACCCGGTGAAGTTGAGTCTGTGTTGAAATTTAATAATCCACAAGATCAGTGGGGTCTGACTTTAGTTATGTCAGTGCTACAGCTGCAGAAGGTAAAATATCCTTCAGTGTTCCAGAAAACCCCTGGTTCCCTGACCATGTCTTGAACAGAGAATATAAAACCTTGAGCTTATCATTTTCTTCAAACTCTCCCATGTAGTTTGAAGCAGCAAGTTAACTCTAGTTCTTATATTGCTCATGTCCTTCAAACTGGACTATGGTAGTAGCCCCCAAGCCCCCAAAGCACTGCCTTCAAGGTGCTTCATTCCTGGTCACCACAGGGGCCTGGCTAAGTAACCTGTGCCCCTGCAAACCATGAACTATGAGTATCACATCCTCTAACCCTAACCAGAACCTCCAGCCTGCAGCCCCAACAGGCCAAATAACCCCATCCCAGAATCTCGTTTTCTTAGTGTGTTTTCTCATCTGGAACCACTTCCGGTACCAATTAATAGAATGGTCAGGGGATGTGAAGAGAACACGTTCCCACTGCTCAGCGCAGAGCTTGGCATGAACATACTGAATAATAAACTGCATCTGTAAGTGATTCATCTCCCATCTGGGAAGACATTTCAAAACTGGGTTTAGATGTTTATAAATTATGCTGTGTTGACTTCTTTACAATGACAAAATAAAATAAAATCTAAAGCAAATTCACATCAAAAATTTTTACATGAGCCCTGGCCAGTTTGGTTTAGCGGTTAGAGCATCGGCCTGCGGTCCCGAGAGACCTGGGTTCGGTTCCCACTGGGGGTGCGTACCTCGGTTGCAGTTTGTCCCTGGCCCTGGTTGGTTGTGCGGGTGGCAGCCACTTGATGTGTCCCTTTCACATCGATGTTTCTCTCTCTCTCTCTGTTCCTCTCTCTCTCTCTCCCACTCTACCTGAACAAAAAATGGAAAAATGTCCTCAGGTGAGGATAAAAAAAAATTTTTACATGAGATATCAAACAAATTATTCACATTATTGGAGTCATTTTTCATTTTTTCCATGTGCTTAGTACAGACTGAGAGTCAATAATACTAATCAAAGATTTAATTCACAGATCATTCCTATAATTTTAAATTTCAATGTTACACAATGGCCAGAGATAAAGAACATAATGCCTACAAATGCTTTTTCCTATTACTACCAAGTGGTCATGAAGGGTCATTTGAGGTACATCATGCCCTGAACTTGGTCAATGAGGGGTTGGGAAACATCCTATGTACAGGACCAGACAGTAAATATTTTAGGAATTATGGATCATACAGTCTCTGCTGCAACTATTCAAACTTTTTGGTAGAGCACAAAAGCAGCCATAGACAACAGGCAAATGATTGGGGGAAGCTCTGTTCCAATAAAACTTTATTTATAAAAACAGGCTGTAGGTCAGATTTGGCCCAGGAGCAACTGTTTGCCAACACCTAGTTTAAACAAAAGAAATTTATTTCACAGAAAAAAATTTTTTAAATCCTCACCCGAGGATACTTTTCCATTTATCTTCCGATTGAGTGAGAGGTGGAGAGAGAGAGAGAGAGAGAAACATCGACGTGAGAGAGACACATTGACTGGTTGCCTCCTGCAAGACTCAGACCAGGGCTAAGCACTGGACCACAACTAAAGTGCATGCCCTTGACTGGAATCAAACCCGCGACTCTTTGGTTCTCAGGCTGACGCTTTAATCACTGAGCCACACTGGCCAAGGCTTCACAGATAAAATTTAATTTAATCTTCTAATTAGTTACAATAAAATCTAACACTCTAAAATACATACCCCTTCTCGTCAGCTGGACTCGGATGTCCCTCTTTCACGGGCTTCTGTGGTTTTTTCTCTTTCTTTTTCAGGTATTCCTTTAGTTTTTCTGCTCTATCAAGATATTCTGTACACTTTGCCCTGATACTTTGCTTGGCTTTATCACCCTGTGCTTCATCTATTAAAGGGAAATGAGAGATCGTCCCATTAGTGTTATACCCAGATACGGTCAAGCTCTTAGATATCCTTCTAAACAAGGACAATCTATTTTGGGGGAGGAAGATCATCTCTAGCTGGTTGTAACCAAGGATTATCAATCTTTTCTATTCCTTCAGCAAAGTCAGAGGCCAACAGTGGGTCTGAGTCAGAAAGATCTGAGCAAGGCACTAGGATGTTTTAAGTTAATGTTGGATAATAAGAGATTATTTAACAGTCTGTGGGTTTCATACTCCCGACATTCTGTGCAGCTAGCTGAACGCAGCTTATGTCATACACACCAGTTATAAGGCAAACAGAAGTAAAGCCATATCGACCATTTCCATTAATGCCTACGTAAGCTTTATTTCAGAGTATAACAGAGTATACATATAGTAATTTTACTACATATACGCAGACCTCTGTGAGAGCTATCTGAAAAGTAGACTTCAGCAATATACGCAATTCATGGGATTAGCCCCACATCTTATATGTTAGAATTCATTCTTAGTTTCACTTTAATTTGACAGAAAAATCTCCAAAGTTAAATGGGAAGTTTAAAAGCTAAAATTTTTTATTTAAAAACAACTTAAAGTTGACCAGAAAGATGTTTTCTTTAACATCTTACTATACCCATGTTCAGCATTAGGTTTCACAGTCGAAGCAGGAGTCTGTGCCCTGTCCCCCCGCTGCTGCATCCCGGGGCCTACAAAGGGCCTGGCACACGGCGAACACCCACTATTCGGAAAATGCACAAAAAAGTTTCCCAGCCTAAGTTTAAAACAGCGTATTTTCAAAGAGATGGCTCGAATATAAGAAGGTTCAGATTACATAATCTGGGTATATTAAAATAAAAACGTATTTCCACTGACTATGACATTTTCATATGTTCAGGCATGCAAAGTAATAACTATAATAGCTGTGCAGATTTGTTAGCTGAGTATCTAAAACCTGTCTAGATGCATACTAGAAAGCTAGTAGGCTGTGTGTGGATGCAAATTGACGGTTTAGAATTTTCTGGCATTGTATTACAATTTTCATAAATGAAATATAATAAATATTTTTTTCTTTTAGTATTTTTAAATACAGAAACCAGGCCTTACATTTAACTACGTGGAGAAAATACTGCACAGCGTGCTGGTAGAGTTGAAGGGCTTCCTCATAGTTCCCAGCTTTGTCTTCCTGGGCTGCTTTGCTAGCAAGATCTATCGCTTTCTGTTTGAAGAGAAACAAATTCATACCATCAAAATCATACCACCAAAATCAAAGCATAAGTGTAAGTTTGAAATAATCATATGAAAAGTTGTTTTTTTAAATATAAAAACATCCTTAAAACAAATCTTTTTTTCTAAATCACAAAAACATTTTCTTACAAATTATAACTATTTATAAAATGCAAATTAAATGTTATATGGGTTAATGCTATCTGAATACAAGTTTATTTAGTATCAATCACTAAGATTTGCACACAATTTGCACTCAATGAAAGTTAAGGTTAAGGCTAGTACAGAATAATCAAAAAATAATCTGAAAACTCTCAAAATCAAATATCGCTTTATCTAAAGCATATAACAGTCAAATGTAAATGGGTAAAACCCCTTCAGAAGCAATGGGGCAATGAAGCATCAAGAATCAAAAAAATACCCACATCTTTAACCCAGTAATTAACTAAAGGACAGTAACCAGAAAGGTCTTTTGAAAAACAAAAACAAACCTTAGTAACTAAAATTTTAAACAGCAAAAAGATGCCACACAATGGAAAATTATAGAATGATTAAAATAATACTAAGAAACATTTGTAACAACATGGAAGGTATTTATAATTAAAGTTTTTTGGAAAGATACAAGTTCAACTGTTTCAAACAACCAAAAGAAAACAAGCACAGGAAAAAATCGGGAAGGAAATTAACAACTTATCTTTGATAAAACTTAATTTTTCATTTTCTACTTCCACATCTTCTAAAAATGGCCATAATGTACACAGACTACTTTAGAAGTATTTAAAACAAAACTCCCCAAAATAAATCCATACAAATAATGTCCAAGTGAGTGACAACAATGCAAAAGCAAGTAAATGGTAGAACAACAAGCTTTTCAAGAAATGGTGTGAGAGCAACTGGATACACATAAGCGAGCGAGAGTGAGAGAGAGAGAGAGAGAGAGAGCGCGCGCACGTGCTTCAACCTAACCACCACACTTCAGACAAAAATTAACTCAACATAGATTATAAATATAAATTAACTCAACATAGATTATAAATATAAAATGTAAAACTATAAAATCTTAGTTCTCAGATGACACCAAAGCACAATATCTAAAAGGAAAAAATAAATATTTTCATCAAACTTAAAAACTTTCGGTCTGTAAAAGATCCTGTTCAAGGATGAAAAGACAAGCTACAGACTGGGAGAAATATTTGCAAACCACATACCCAGTAAAAGACTAGTATCCAGAATATATAAAGAACTCTCAAAACTCAACAGTTAAAAAAAGAATCCAAGTAGAAAATGGGGTAAAGACAAGAGACATTTCACCAAAGAGGATATACAGATGTAAGCATACGATTAAATGTTCAACATCATTAGCCATTAGGGAAATTCAAATTAAAACCACAATGAGATGTCACTGCACATCTATCAGAATGGCTACAATAAAAGTTACTGACAATACCAACTGGCGGTGAGGAGACAGAGAAATTGTGGTGAGCATATGGAGAAATTGACCACTCACATATTACAGGTAGGATGTAAAATGACAAAGTCACTCTGGGAAACTGTTTTTTACAAATCTAAATATGTAAAACTACCATATGAACCAGCAACTGCACTCCTGGGCATTTCTTCCAGAGAAATGAAGACTTTGTTCATGCAGAAACTTGAACATGAATGTATCAGATGTTCATCAACAATGGCATGGTAAACAAACTGTGATACACTCGGCCCTGGTTTATCACGGTTAATCAGTTCCAGACTCTACCGCGGTAAACGAATTTCTGCAAAGTAGGATTCTTCATTTATACAGTCGTCCCTCACCACTTCTGCGGCTTCACTCTATGGCGGTTTTTCCAAATATAGTCTAGTATTTGGAAAAAACCACGATAGAGTGAAGCTGCGAAAGTCGAAGCGTGAGGTGGCGAGGGACAACTGAACACCACCACCATGGAGTGTTACCCAGTACCAAGAAGGAAGGAACTACTGATACAGGGATTGGGGGGTGGGAGAGAGGACTGGTTACAAAGGTCAGGAAGGACACCCTATGGATCGAACTGCTCTGAATCACAACAGTCACGTGAACCTACATGTGAAGGTACTCTGCACATACACAAATGCACACTAGTACTAGACCGGGGAAACTGAACACGACTGGTGGCATGTATCAGTGCGACCATCCTGGCTACTACACTTTTACAAGATGCCACCATGTGAGGCAATGGGTAGAGAGTACACGGGATCCCTGTATTATTTCTCACAGTGAGTGTGACATCTAAAATTATGTCAAAAGGAAATTTTCATTAAACTATCTTTAATTTTTAAAAATATGCACACACATATAAGCATGGTTTATTAAAACATTCCAACTGGATTAACTTAGGTAGTACAACTGTATTCAATAGAAATAAGAGTTAGCAGAGAAAACATGATCCTGGTTATACTGTATTAAAAATAAGCATATAATTCACATAAGAAAAAATTATTCAAACAGCCCCCAAATCAATCACACATAAGAGTACTGCACTCTGAAGCAGCTGCTCCTGGACTGCAGAGAAGGGATGAAAGCTGTCAGTGGGAGAAGAGGCCTTCCCTGGGCACATGCGCCCCGTGCTGTAGCAGGAGGAACCTAAATCATATGCTTGAGAACTGACAGAATGTAGAAGTCATGTTTCACAGCTCAGCTAGCCTGAACATAAAGCTAAATTTTCAAAAGTTTGGTAAACGAGGCAGGAGGTAAAGGGTAGAGTCGTAGCACGTGGTCACCTGGTGGGCCCATGTGCCGGGTCATGGAAAAATGCATCAGGAAGGTGCAGTGGCTGAGCCATGTGCAGAGATAAGTTCTTTCTTATTCTGGCTGTAATTTTCTTCTCATGTTATTTTGAATCACTGTGCCACTCACCAGTTCAGTCACGCAATCCCCTCCTTCGCGGTCAGCCCTCTTTTAGGCTGACCTTTGTTAAAGTAAAACGTTACAATCAGAATTTAATAACCTAGCTCCAAATATGGTGCCCATGACTTTAAACCAGCCGTTCTCTAATGACGGACGTGTATCTGCACTGCCCAATATAGGAACCGCTAGACACATATGGCTTCTGAGCACCTGTGGTTAGCGTGACTGAGTTTCAATGTCCTTGAAGTAAATTTAAACAGCCACATGTAGCTCCTGTACTGGACACCACACGCCAACCCTTTACCCGAGGATGAGGATTTGAGATGATACATATCTGTTCTCTCTGCTGAATGCCCCACTTCACCCATTCCTGTTAGCATTTTTCCTTTGAAATGAAGTTAACTGTGTGGTTCGGGAGTGCTAGTAATTCTTTCGGAATATAACCTGACCATCTTCCTCGCTCCCACCCTGGTTCGATCCTACCGTCCAGTCTCCTCGGCTTCCACCCTTGCCACCTCCAGTCCACAGAGCAGCCAGTGCAGGGCGCCCTTAGATGGATTCCCACCGCGGCCAAGGAACCCAGTGCTGGGTCATGATCTACAAGAACTAAAGGCCCTGGCCCTGGCTCCATCTGGGCCCACCTGCAATGCTGCGGTCCTCCTTCCTCCTTCGCTCTGCAGCCCGGCCGCCAGGCACTGCTGATCCCCCCAGAATGCTCTTCCCTGCTCTTCCCCAGACCGACACCTGAGGGTCTCTTTCAGTCAGTTCCAATGGCATCCCTCAGAGAGGCCCTCCCTGTTCTCCTATCCAAGCGCACGCTCCTCTTTCAGCCCCTCACCCCTGCACTCCTACCCCGTCACCGTTTAGCATTATATTTACCTGGACCCCTCTCACTGGCTGTCTCCTCAGTGTACAGGTAAAATGAAGTCTGTGATGGCAGGGACTTCATCTGGAGCTCCGCTCCCCCGCCCCCGAGCCTAGAACACATGGATGCTCAATAAAATTGTTGAATAAATGGGGGGAAAATCCCCCATCACGTTCTCAGAATCTTCCTTTTGGTAATTCCACGTGTCACCTACAACAATTTCTCTCCACTCCACACTGCTGTCCGCAGGCGACAGCCCTCCGCCAGAAATCCTCCTTTGACACTGAAACGCCCTTCGGCTTAGCTGTCTCTGCTCCTTTGGGGCCAGCATCTCAGAGTAGCCTCTACTCGTGCCAGTTCCTTCTCCACCACTTACCCTTCCGCTCAGCCGGTCTGGGCTCCTGCCCCTCATCACATCAACACAACGGCTCCCGCAAGGTCTCTGTGATGCCAGATCCAAAGGCCGGCTGCATCGCCAACGTGACTGCGACATCTAGCACTCCCTTCCTGAACACAGCCTCTGCGGAGCTCCGGGGAGCCACCTGCCAGGTCTTCCTCCTACTCTGCCGCTCCCACTCTATCTCCTTTGCTGATTCTTCCTCTGGCACCAGATGCTAAATTCAGAATTCCTGGGGGGGGGGGGGGGAGGGTTTGGGCGGGGCTCACTTCTCTCTGATTACTCCCTATGTAATCTGTTTTTGATCATTTAAGCTGATTATCTTTATGCTGATGACTCCCAAATTTATTCAATTTTAAAACACATCACTCTTCTGTTTAAAACTCTTCCAGTGGCCCTGGCCTTTGTGGCTCAGCTGGCTGGAGTGTCAACCTGTACACCAAAAGCTGGCGGGTTCAATTACTGATCAGGGCACATACCCAGGTTGGGAGTTCAACCCCAGGCCGGGGCGTGAGGGAGGCAGCGGATCAAAGTTTCTCTTTCATATCGACGTTTCTCTTTCTCTCTCTCCCACTTCCTCTCTCTGAAATCACTTAAAAAGTAAAATCCTTCCAGTGGCTCATCCCTGTGCATGTGGGTTTCGTGTTTCTGCCTGACTTGTCCCACTGAACAGAAACTCCATGAGGATGGGAGTTCATCTACTGAGTTCACTCTTTCATATTCCAGAGTCTAGCACAGAAGCTGGCAAGAGACTGAGTGAAAACGTTACCCCAGGGCGAGCCAGGATCCAGTCCTCAGTACTGAAGTATAGGGTTGGGAACCTCTGGGGCTGTCCTTTTCAGATCAGGAGACCATGACGTGTCCACGCTAGAAAACCCTGGGACACTGGGTAAATTCTAGCATCACCTATCTCAGGAGGAAAGATGTCCCAGCCCGTGTGTCAAGGCTAATTCTTTCCCCTGTGTTCTTGAGCTCATCCCCACCTGCCTTCTGGGACATTTATTCCACCAATGACATGTCACTCGACTCCTCAAACGCAAACACCCGGCTACTAGGTTCCCCTGAAGCTACTATCTCACTACCTTTTCATCTCCACAGCCAAGTCCCAAGGAGAACCCCAAGTTCATCTCGGTTTCTTAAGTCCTCCCACATCAATGATTCCTGCTCCCTGAATGCCAACTGTCTCCCTCCCCACCCTCCCCTCAGCAGCATTTAACCCTAGTAACAGACCCCAGACATGGCCTCCTCTGGCCCCATGGTACCCTCTCTCCTGCTTTTACTCTGGACTATGTTAAGGATCCTTTTTCAGGAGCACCTTCTCTCTTCTTAAAGTGCTGCTATTCCTCAGGGTTTCTCCCCTGGTCCTGTTTCCCTCATTCCATGAACTCTCTAGACACCCCCGCCCCCCACACACACACACTACCACCTGCGTGCCAGCAACTCCCAAATCCACACCTTCAGCCCAGTCCTCTCTCTCCAGCTCTACACACACGTCTCCAACTGCTCACTGGACATTTATTCTCGATGCATGTCAAACTCAAGAAGTTCAGGACCACCCTGGTCCCAAACATGCCCCTCGTCCTGTAATCCCAGAACCAATTCCTACCCACTCAGATCTCCTGGAAAAACACTTGGCCTCCCCCTCCTCCCTCGCTTTCTGAAAGAAGAACCATGCCTGGCTCTTCGTCTTCAATTTGTGTCTGACTAATCCCTTCTTCTTTATTCTAACAGGAAATATACTTCTTCAGGTGTCCGTATCTCCCACCACACAGAACCCTGCCTAACTGGCTCCCTGCCCCAGGCTTGCTACCAGACAAGTTGTGCCCTATACACCTGATAGTTTCACCCTAAAACAAAAACCTGAGCCTATTACCATCTAGACCTGGATGAGGATCAGTCACCTATGTGACATGGTCTACTTAGGCTCGTCCTCCCACCTTGCACTCAGTTCCAGTCATACCTAATTATGGGGACAACCCAGACAACTCAGACTCCATGCCTCCGAGCACTCTCCACCTGGAAAACCTGATCCAACTGTCTGCCTGTAAACTCCAGCTTCTCCTGGACCCGGCAGTCAAGGTCCTCCTGCAGCAAAGCCCTTCCCAGCACACCAGGTGGCCTATTCCTGTGCTTCCTCTAGATTTCTCTGCCTCCTAGACAGACTTCCAGTGATCACACAGTATCCTAGCAGTCACTTTACATGTCTGTTTTCACATCAACATATAAGCCCTTGGAAGTCAAGAATGATATATTTATTTCTTTTATGATTCCCCAAGACTTAGCAAAATAGCATGGCACAGTTGACACTCCAAGAAATATTCATACCTGAGTAAACTTTGCTCTATGCATACTTCATTACTTGCCATTTTTCCTGACCCTCTCCAAAGTTTATCACATTTATAGACTGAGGAAATGTTGTTTTTCTCTGCCTGGAACGAGTCCCACTTTCCTGTCCAAGGATGCATAAACTTGTAATGACAAAAGCACAAACTTGTAAGCAGACAGACCTGGATTCAAAACTATCTTCAACATTAATTAACTGTATGCCTTTGGGAAAACTGAACCTGATATGTTTCGATTACTTATACTGTGAAATTGGAATAATATTCACCTTGAAGAGCTGTTTTGAGGATTAAATGAGATCACATCAAACACCAAGTGGACAATTAGTGTCACTTTATCTAAGCTCATGATTATCTCCTCTGTGGAACGTTTCCCATCTGTCCTTAAGTGTTAGACGTGCCTTCCTTTCTGCCCTCCCACACTAACCTCTAATTCTATTATACTATTTACTGTATTCTTTTATAATTTTTCTTTAGTTATCTGCATTCGTCCATTAGATTATAAGTATACGGCTACAGGGATTTTTGCCTTGTCTGGTGGGAAAGTTATTCGTTATTTGAGTATTTTTTATCCATGTTTCCTAGGTTAGGAGGTTGAAAGGTTTGAATGAGAAAGCGCATCTGTGAACCAACCACTAATAGGATTATAACTCAGTCCCCCTCCCTGTTTAATAGTAACAATGCTTTTAAAGTGGATCGATCTCCAGCTGACTTAAGAACATCCAACAATCCAATTTAAATAACACAAACTGATTATAGAATGAAACTGCGTATTTTCCAAAAGAAAAACACTGTCAATGCATAAATTAAAATCATGTTATAGAATGCCCAAATCACATGCAAAGTCTGACAAATGAAGACCTGGTGGAATAAAACTAGTTAACTGACAAACCAAAAGGTATGATGACAAGACGGGCATTTTAAAATAAACCATCTTCCATGCTCAAAGAACAATATGTACTTTCATCAAATGACCATATTTTATACAAGTACATTTACTAAACACTATCAATAAATGAAGATTGTTCTATTTTAGTTTAATGCAATCTTTTTGTTTTTTAATCCTCACCCAAAGGTATTTTTTCCACTGATTTTCAGAGCAAATGGGAGGGAGAGGGAGAGAGAGAGAAACATAGATGTGAGAGAGACACATCCATTGGTTGCCTCCCGCATGTACACGGACCAGGGTTGGGGATGAACCAGCCCTTGACCAGGAATCTAACTGGGATCCTTCAGTCCACAGGCCGACGCTCTAACCACTGTGCAATGCTGGCCAGGACAGTTGAATGAAATCTTGCTGGAAAAGATACAGGAACCAACATGTGACTTATTCTTTGTTCTAAGAAATAAGTTGTAGCTATGATTTTAATATTTCACAAAAGATATGTTCATTTTCATAATCTTTCTGGTCCATTTTCAAGACAGAAGTCTCAAGCAAGCCCCTTCCCCCTCTACTCTTTTCTGTGGAATTGTGGCCTCTATTTATTTAAAATATGTTTTTATAGACTTTTAGAGAGAGGAAAGGAGAGGGAGAGGAGAAAGAAACATGGGTCAGAAACATGGATCAGCAGCCTCCGCAGCCTCCTACACGCCCAGTACTGGAGATGTAGTCCACAACGGGGGCATGTGCCCTGACCAGGAATCAAACTGGTGACATGGGTCCATGCTCAACCACTGAGCCATACCGGAGGGCTGGCTTCTATTTAAATGGGTCTACTTTTTGAGGTCTTTCTTCAGGATCAATGATCCTGCGTTCAGTAGGTCCTCCATTGGCCTGTACCAGGCGCTCAATAAATGCCCATTTAACCAGCTACTGCAAGACCAAGACAAGTATTCAATATAAGTATTTCATTTTCTTTTGTCCCCAAATGACCTAGTGGACTGGGGTATCCTCGATGCCAAGTCACATTCTAAACCCTACTGAAGCCTCAGATCCATTCTGAAGATGGGAGACAGTTTTCAGAAATTTCTCCATGTCCAATCCACAGAGGTCCAACGATTTAGTCGAAAACTTTAGATTTCATGATTTGTGTGTGAAATACCGCGATCACTTCGGCAGGGGTGAGGCGGTGGAGCCACAGAGTAACTAAAAAACATCCCCGATCTTACGGTGCTACATTTTGGGAGCCACAGAAGAATGCACACCAACGCCCGTGCTCAGGGAACCCACGGGTTCCTCGGAGTCCAGTTCTGCTCTCTCGTTCCCATCCCCCTGCCAGCCCGAAACGGGCCCTGCCGGCCCCGCTGGAGGAGCTGCCGAGAGCTGGGACCGCCCCACTGTCAACGGGTCCAGAGCAGGCAGGGCTTTGCAAACAGGACGCGCTTCCCACGCTCGCTGACCCTGATGGAAGCGTCCGTCCACCGTTCTGCCCAGTTCGGTTCGCATTCGGCTGGTGTGAAGGCAAAAGAAAAGCCTCAACTTAAGCCAAGAGTCTCAGAAAGCAGGGCGCTCGGGAGACCCCGGAAGCGGGCAGAAAGCACGGACTCGCCCACCTGCGGCTGGGCACCGCCCTCCTCCCAGAGCGCACCGGGGGCGCGGCCGCTTCTTCCCTCCCCCCCCCCCCCCCGGCTCCCGCTCCCCAGGGGCAGGGAGGCCGGTGATACCTGGAGGTTGGACGAAGTGGATGCCATGGCGGAGACCCGAAGCGGTTCCCTGGGGAGGAACGAAGGCACAGGACCAACAGCGGCGACGTCGAGCCCCGCCTGGTGTAACCCCAAAAGAGTGCGCAGGCTGATGACTCCCCGACCCCTAGCAGCACCCTCCCTTCCGGACGGGATCCTAATCTACACAGAGCTCCAAGAGCCGCCGGACCCTCCTCACAAAACTTCCGCAATCCCGAGCCCCTCCGGGCTCTCGTCCCGCCTCTCGCCCGGGCACTTCCGCTTTCGTCATCATCACGCGCGCTGCCCAGCTCTCAGTCCTCTAGGTCTCGCCTCCGCCCGCGGCATCGCGAGACCGGGAGGGGCGTCCTCGCGACCAGCCGAGGTTTGGCGGAAGTCAGGCCCAGCGCGGGCGCAGTGCGACTCCGGCGGGTTTAATTCTCTTCTTTTTTCCGGAAGCCTTGCGCTTGAAGATGAGTTATTGGCTCTGGCTCCTTCCACCCCTCGTCGTGGAGCATCCTCCATCCCTCTAGAGCTTTGAGGTGAAAAAAGCCTCCCCGTCTCCAAAACCCCCGGTTGTGGACTGTGGGGCCTCATTCCTTCTGACGCCCCCCCCGTAAAGTGGGGGTGACTGTAGTGCCTGCCTCGGGGTTGTGAAGAATGCGAGTCGGGCTCAGCCAGGAGCAGATGCAGGGGCGGGCGAGCGTGAGGATGCGAGTGCGTGTTCTTGCTGGCACTTCACCCCTCCCCCAGCGGCATTTTCCAGATGTTTCTGCCGCGGTGCAGGGGCCTTGAGCCCGGGCAGCTGCATGGCCGCTGCCCTCGGCCTGCGCGCTGCTGAACGCTCGTCTTGTGACCTGGTAGAGCGGATGCTGCTGCTGTCAACGGGGTTAACAGCGCGACAGGTTAAGGGCTTTGTAGGAGAGCACAAGACCTTGCCTGTGCCTTTCTGTTGCTTGCAGTCACAGTCCAATTTTTCTTCTTCTTCCTTTCATGGTTAAGTGTGGGGGTTCAGAACCGGGCACCCGAAGATGTGTCACTGGGGTGTGCAGATTGTGTCAGCTAAAGGCAACTGGAGTGGAAGGCTTAAGAGAAACCAATGCCCCTCCCTTACTAGCTGGAAGAACTTGAATTAGGGGCCTGGTCCGTACGAAGCAATTATCAGAGGTAACATCTTTTGACCTATCTACAGGGCAGGGCATGCGTCTACTTACTAAATATCTGCTGTTCTTGCCCTTTGGGTCTCCTCATCCCCAGCTCAGAATGTCATGTATGTACTCATGTCCCCTTTCTGTCTCTGACCCTCCCGTGCACGGGGGAGGGGCCTGTCTCCGACTCTCAGGTGCAGGGTTCCCATGCATAGGTATGCATTAAATGTGGTTATTTTCTCTTGCTAATTGGCCTCGTGTCTATTTGGTTATTAGACCAGCCCAAAAGAAACGTAAGGGTAGAGGGTAGTTTCTTCCCCCACGTAAGCTCAAAGGAAAGGGAATAGATGTTTAATCACTTCATTATATTTCCCATGCACTCCCCAATTCTTTCAAATCACCTGCCATCTCCTAAGTAATTAAAGCACTTTCTCCCCCTTGATATGTAATACTGTGAACTACCCAGTTTTAGAAATCTCACTTGTATAGAGTTCTGTATTCCTTCTCTATCTCCTTCACTGTCTCCCCTTCTTACTCCTGTCTATGTGCAGAATTTCCTCCAGTCTGATGTTGTCTTCTCCCTCAGCAGTGCATCTCTGCTCACCTATCCCCAACCTGGCCTTCGGGTATCAACACAATAGAAACAGCTTCAAATCTAGATCTCTGTGCCCATCTGTCCTATGCCCTGCATTTACTTCTAACTCCAGAGATCTCAAAACAAACAAACAAACCAAAAAACAGGTTTTTCCCACACATTTGAAGCCAAATTATCTTCTACCCCCAAACTTTTTTCCCCCGGGTCCCTCCTAAGAATGATGTCACCAAATCTCCATCATCCAGACTCAAAACTCCAAGCTCAGAGCTTTGTCTCCACCTGCCAGAGCTCCTTTCCACCCTCGGTTCCCTTCCCCGTACAGATAGAGACTGACTCCGGTCCCTAGATCGTTAATGTGCAAAAGACACAATAAATATTAAACCATTTAATGGAGCTGCTTAAAATAAGTTGCTGATTCCTTATTAACTGTCAAATTAACTTGATTTTGCCTGGAGATGCAATCATACTCCAGTTTACCTTTCAATTCATTCCCTCAACAGTCACTGAACGCCCACGAGACACAAGTCTACTAGGCATGAGGAAAGCTATGAAGACTAATAACCTGCAGCCTTTGCTGTTTATGAGTTACAATTTAATGGAAGACACAGACACATACCAGTAAAAAGAGTTCATTGAATCTGTAACTAACTACATAAATAAGTAAATGAGAGAGTTCATTGAGATATTGGATACCATTATGTGCCAGGCTATTTTAACTGCCAAATGCGAACCAAACAATCACAAATCTCTCTTGTATCAGCAACAGTAAGTCATACTGAGGTCATGTATCCCCTAACACACAATGAGAAGGGTCAGTAGGCTGGTGGGTGACATTTGTGGATTAGTTTGCAACAGGGTGTCCGGTCCAGCCCATCCAGGACTGAACCCATCTCCCTCACACCATCTTAAAGGAAATGAATCATGTGAAAGCCCTCACAGCATACCAGCCACTATGTCCACCCAGGAGCCAGGTCTCTGCTTGCTGAATCACCAGCTTCCTCCCTGTCCTGAAACACAACCACGAGGAAGGTGACAGGCAGACAATGCTGATCATGTGAAGGAAGTGACTCAGGCAGGAAACCTGTTCTCCACCGGGGCAGCACACCATTCTGAACAACTCTGGAGGTCCAGTCCTGTCTCCCTTATTGCTGTTTGTTTTACTCCTTTGACGCCACAGAGAGCTTCTGGACTGATAAGTGGGTTTGAGAACTGACCCGTCAACTGTCGGTCAGCCTTGCAATGGAGGGCGTGTTGACGGAAGCAGCCATCCGTCATTGTTGATGACCTCCGGGCAAGTGTGATGTACCTCATCAGCACAGAAGAAAAGATGAGGTCCCTGCCCTCAAGATGTTTGTAGCCTAACCCCATCACCCCCAGACTGTGAATACCAAGAACACGGTAATGCACCTACAAGAGTCGATTTCAAACATCTTTCCCCGCTCTTGCTCAATCCAGGTCTTTTCCTTTGTAGGTGCATAAACTTACATCTTCAAGCATTTTCAAAAAGGTATCGTGTCAGAAAAAAAAAAATGAATTGGTTGTGATTTTGTGTAGAACACATAATTACTAGCAACGTATTTAGTGAATGACACTATGGCAAATTCTGAGTAATGCATGGGACTAAGAATCTGGGGGGAGGGGGTGTGGGACAGGGGGACAGGACTTGGGAGCCCTGAGTACAAGATCAGCCTGGCCATCTTAAGACTGAATATCAGCTGGCAATTTTCTTCTTTTGATATATCAGTTTCCCTATTTAGTATTTAAAAACAGATTTGAAAATGATGTATCTCAATGGTGAAATGAAAAACCCTAATTCACCAAACCTAAAAAATGTTTCATTGGAAGCTGCGGTTTCAATGCTTGAGGTCAATCTTTTAACTAGGAAAGACATTTAATACTCCCGTTACTACTCTATTTGTTGGACTTTGGAATCAAATCATGTGGGATGGAATTCTTACTTATATGTGTAAATAGGTGTAAACCCTGGGACTCTTAGAAGACACAATACAGTTGATGACACACTTGTACTTGAACTAATCAATACAGGCACACTCATTTTATTGCATTTCACAGTTGTTTTTTAAACAAATTGAAAGCAAGACCCTCCACCAGCAAAAAGATTATTACTTGCTTTATTGCAATACTCACTTTGTGGCAGTAGTCTGGAACCAAACCTGCAAAATCTCTGAAGCCTGCCTGTTACACTTTATATATGTTTTTATTGATTTTTTAGAGAGAGAAACATCAATGTGAGAGAAACATTGATCATTGATTAGCTGCCTCCTACATGCCTCCTACTGGGGATTGAGCCTGCAATCCGGGCATGTGCCCTGACGGAATCAAACCTGGACCTCTCAGTCCATGAGACCACACTCATTCCACTAAGCCACACAGGCCAGGTAGCCTGTTAAGCTTTTTAATCATGCAACCAACTGGTGTAGCTCCTGTTAGATATGTAGCCCCTGACTCTGATGTTTAAATGTATCCAAATGAGAAGTCAAACAAGGCCTCTGCTAGAACTTCTAATATAGTTGGAAAAAGCAAGCAGTTGCAAACAGAAAGCTGTCTTGACTGTGAACATGAATGACAAATACAATGTATGCCTTATGAGTTAAAAACAAGTGGTGAGAAATGTTGGCTACACCGATCATGGAAAAGATTGGGGCTGCGTTGTGTCTAGAGAGGAAACTTCAGAGACAGCGAAGGAACTTCCATGTGTTCATATAAAGACACTCTGTGCTACTGAGGAGAGTTTTCCTTTCATATTATTCAAATTATAATTACAAAATGGAAGTCTTGAAAGCTCAAGTGTGTATTCATAATCTTGGCCAAAGTCCATGTTGGAAGATGAAGGATACATTAAAAACCATGGCCAATTCAATTATTTAATTTCACTGTATTAAAGCTCAAGGTTGCCAAATGATCTCATTACCAAATTATATCCTAAGGTCATGCTGCGAAAATGGGATAGTGTATGCCAGACAAACGACTCCCAAGGGCAACTCCTGGCCAATGATACCTTTGAAGTTGCAAAATAGCTGTGTTTTTCATTGGAAAATTCCATCCTCCACCCCTGGTAGTCTTGGAGAGTTCCTTGGCTTACCTCACCTAGTGCAACAAAGCACTGGGCTAAACATTGATCACGTAGAGGACACTTAGTGACATGTGAATGACAACTAGTAGCAGTCTCAAAAGCAATTTTGTAATACATTTTATAAAGAGGCAACCTGGCCCAGCTGTTGTGGCTCAGTGGTTGAGCATCGACCCATGCACCAAGAGGTCACCGGTTCGATTCCCAGTCAGGGCATATGCCCAGGTTGTGGGCCAAATCCCCAATGGGGGGCATGCAGAAGGTGGCCAATTGATGTTCTCTCTCACCAATGTTTCTGTCTCTATCTCCCTCTCTGTTCCTCTCTCTCTCGAATCAATAAAGAGAAAAAAATTTTTTTTTTTAAATTAAGAGGCAATCTGAGTTTATAAAAGTCATGCAGAGAAGGCAGCAAATTGTGGTGTCAATGACACGG